CATAAACTAAGCAACTGTTACTCTAGTAATAAGATTTTTTCTATAACACTATTCATCAACCCCTCTCTCTTTTATTTGAAGTTAGCGCAATTTTTGTATTGAAACGATTGGTAATCAATCAACTGGAGATTATGAAAATAATGTTTTTCTACTATTACAATACGCGAATTAAATATCTGCTATCAAATTTTCTAAATGGTTCATTTTAACAAGAATTTTCATTTTGATACAGATTTTGGCCAATTGAAAACACGTACTTCTCATTATGATACGGATTTTCGGCCTATAGAAACACGTCCCAACTTGGGTATAATCAAGTTGGTCTATGTTTCTATCTCACTTGCTTGAGTTGTTTGACATTTAATTCCAATTGACATTCAATCATGACGCGTCAAAAGTACAGGCATGCAGTGACGGCTCGTGCCCTCAGAACCTGGGTCGGCCAGGGTATAGATATTGCTCTAGTTCGTCAACTTAATTTTTTGGATTAAAATGAAAGAAAGAAATGCGAACGTAACACGTTGGGTCAGCGGCTTGAGTGAAGTTCGATGGGAAATAAGCATGTACACATAACCAAAAAATTAAATTGTCTCACTCACCTAACGCGAAAAGCACAACAATGACTAATCTGCCTACGCCGTTCCTGTAACAAGCCACCCCACTCCTTCGTAGTCGGCTGGCCGAGCCCGCCGTGCAGCCGTAGGTATAATGTTTCCCGCGATGGATGCATAAATATTATTTATAACCGCTACATGCGTTTTTGAAAATAAATTATATTCTGGAAGTTCATTTATTACATTTTCGTCACCAGAGCTTTTTTACGATGTTTCAATACCTACTCAGCTCTTGGATTGCTGACATTTTTCTTGCCATATTACCTACATAGGCAGAGGCACAGTAGGTTACATTACAATATTCAAATTGAATTATAACTTATTGACGCTCAGAAGCACTGAAGGAAAATTCTGATCCCAATATCAGATGGATATGTTGAATTATGAATTACTGAAAAATTGCAAATTCAAAAATCACCAGTCATTTTTACTGCAACTACTGCAAGCGTGAACAAAAACATCGAAATTATTTTTTTTTCAGTTTGTACATTTCAAATTTCAACATCAACTTACAAATAAGTATAGGAATAAAAATTATAAATACCTACAATGTAAAATGAAAATAGAATGTCAATCATGCCAATCCGTATATTAAAAATTAAGTCGGAATGGTCGGATACGGTGCACAGCGAGCGCACTGAAAACTACTGATAACGCGTACAAGGATTATTAACTCTCAACAGGATAGTTCATCCGGCGATGACCAATCAGAAGGATTAACGGCATGACGTCACGCCTGTCAGTGATAGTTGCTGTTTTATGAAGAATCTCAACAACAATCCTAACTAACCTCAAATTTTGCTTTTACGAATTTTGAATGAAGAGGATTTATTATCGAAAGATTCATTCTTTTATTAAAAGAAAATTATAGGTAATTTATTGATTTCTACAGTAAGTAAGAAAGTGTTTCGAAGGTCGTTCGGAAATGGATGGAGAAGGAAAGGGGATTCCATTTGATTTCGGTAGGTTTGTATTCCTTATTTAGAATCGATCACTGATGAAAAATACTTCAATAAGATAATATATTTTCCACAGAAACATCATATAATGTGATTGTGATTAAATGGCCATTATTTTTTAGGTTGATTTGATGATTCCACAATAATTGTGAACTGTGAATATAGTTCAATCTGGAGGATTATTTAACTATTATTGGAGCTAATTTTCCAATGGGTATAGCGATGCTGTGAAATATTGTCATATCTACCTCTTCAAGAACCTAATGGTCCTGCTAGACATATAGATATTCAGTCTCAAATTTTGATTTTGGATATTTGGAATCTCTAGGAGCTATTTTTTCAACAACTTTGTAAAATTATACCTATTGACTATTCAGATTCAAAAGGTGAATGAATATGGAATACTTAGATGAAAATCTATGAGTATTTTTTACAAAAATTACACTTATCAACATTGAATTAGATGATAGAATTGAATCTAGAGAATTACTTACCTCAAAATAGAAGCCTATCATAGGATGGAGATAGTGTGGCAATGGCATTGCTGAACTCTAAATCGATAAGTCTATCAAATGATATGGTCTTGGATATGGCTTGGAGCTTGCAATTGAAATGTTAATACAGTACCCAATAGGTTATAAGTTGAGTTGTGCATACACTCAAAATTGATACATACAGACCTGCAAGAGGCAACCAAAAATTTTCCTCACATTTTCTAATTTCACTTTCTCCTGAAGGGTTCAGATAAATTTGTTACTCACACTAGGTTGATTCATCAGGAAAAATGTATAAATCTTTATTCATATTTTTATTTGATCTCATAGGTATACTCAGAGTACATGTTGTTTTTCCTGCATGTTAGTATAGTATAGGTAGGTATGAAAAATTCACTAGGAATTTGTTAGGAATGCAAAGATTAATCCATGATAGGAAACTCCATATTAGGGGATTTGAAGTGAAATGTCTATGGAACAATAAATTCTGTTCAGTGTCCTCAACTTTCAAATAACTGTATGGTATAGAAAATCTTCAATAGTAGAAAATGTCTGTTGTTGGAATGATATCCTTCTATATATTCTTCCACATCTATTATTAAATGCCTACCAACCTCTTTTATTTTTTGCATTTTTGTATTTTATTTTGACACTGGATAATATGTGAAGTCACACATTTTTCGGATTTTCCTGATTTGCAAGGACTTTGTAAACATCAAGAAGTTATTCATTGAATTTGCTATTAATTTTTGGTTCCAGAAATCAGTTGAGCTAGATTTTAGATGGCCAGGTCCAATGAACTGTTCAAATCCTTTCAATACAAAAAATATGGAAACAGAATGATTTCAGTTTTATGTAACAATCTTCTCGATTTATTAATTATTCAGAAAATTATTATACTTTAATTACTTGAGAGCTCATTTCGCAAATCTCTTTCATAATCTTCTGCTGTGAAATGAATAGAACATATTTGTTTGTTTTTGGTAATGAATGTCTCAGTTTTTCCACATATTTGATTCCATTTATTATTTTGTCTTTCGGAAAGACATGGTATAATTTTCACATGAAGAAATTGCACAACAACGTCCACCACCTCTCCCCATGTTCTGAAATTCAAGAAATAATAAGGGTGTGTTGAGTATAATATGTGAAGAAATACTAAGATACAGTACCTACCTATTAGATATTCATCTATGATAGATAAATCTGTTCCACAAGAATTTAAATCTCTCTAGGTAAGTACATATAAGATTAATAGAATGAAGAGATTTTGTATTTCGTGTAAATTTTTTAATTATAAATCGCAAAGCGCTTTCGGCTAAAAAGCCATCATCAGTGCTATACTCGTCAAGTATTTACAAAAAGGTCCAAAAATTAGTGATCACAAACATCATTATGGTACAAACGGGATTATGAACAGACATACATTTAACAAAAATGTTCCCTAAAGGGTTATTGTAAAATTTTTTCAAAAATACATGTTGAGATTGTTTTGTTCAAGTCCAGATTTCTGGACTTTAGGGAACATTTTTGTTAAATGTATGTCTGTTCATAATCCCGTTTGTACCATAATGATGTTTGTGATCACTAATTTTTGGACCTTTTTGTAAATACTTGACGAGTATAGCACTGATGATGGCTTTTTAGCCGAAAGCGCTTTGCGATTTATAATTAAAAAAATTTACACGAAATACAAAATCTCTTCATTCTATGGATCAGTTACGTGTATGCAGCTAGTAAAAATCTTCACCATATAAGATTATTCCAGCCGCCAAAAGTTTGCGAATTAATTTTGAATTCAAATATTCAAAAATTGCACATGACAGAAAACACAAAACTGAAAACCGTATTTCTGTCACACACACATAACATAAAACACTTTATCTACGCCGTGCACCGATGAGCAATTGTGTGGTGAACGACATGACGTCATATATATGAACCATATATTGACGGATAGGGGATAAACCATCCTGTTGAGTTAATAATCCTTGTGACGCGTATACGCGAGAATTCAAACTAGAAGCGGGGAATCTGTAGGCGATGCGTCGAGACAAGAAACCACCGATCGGCCGGCCGTATGCATCAGTGTAATGAGCTACGCGAGCGTTTCAACTTGAAGCGTCGTTTTGACGATGGGATTACCAGATGTCGTAGGTCCTGAATTAGTTCGTGATTTTCGGTGTATATGCGGATGGCATACTCAAAGGTTCCAGTGAATGAAATTGAAATAATAGTGGCATAACAGTAGGATAATAAACGATGAATTATGAAAACAGTTTCGGAGAATCATTTTATTCATCAAATAGTTCAGTAATTTTCCCCAAATTATTTGGTACGTCCCGGCCGACACCGCCGCCCCTGACGAGCCGTCACTGCAGGCATGCAATTCAGACACTGTGTAGGTGTTGGGATATTATGTTGAAATATAAATAGTTAAAGAGCAACACTAGAACATCAACGGGATCGTGGTTCTGAGATAATTAGAATTCAAATTGTCATGCACAAACAAAAAACAAATGTGAACCGATGAAATTAAAGTAAACATGCCGCTTCGACAGCTTTCAAGAACTCAGATAGGTGGCGTACTCTTATTTTCTATCGCGAATAGACCGAAAATCCGTATCATAATGAAAAGTACTTGTTTTCAACAATTTCAGAACAATTTTTCAGAACAATTTAGTACTTGTTTTCATTTGCCAAATTCTGTATCATAATGAAATTCCGTGTTAAAATTAACCATATTGAGAAATCAGTAGCAAATATTCAATTCGCGTATTGTAATACGGGAGTAGAAAAAATACTATATCGAACCGTCAAGTTTACTACAACAAAAAAGCTCTAATATGTGAATATATGCGATTCCCAGTCCCCTTGAGCAAAGCGCGATCCTAAGTGATCTGGAAACGTTGGCCAATGAATTTTTTTTTTAGGTAGATAAAATTTCGACGGCCATATCTTTTCCGGAAATGCTGGATATGACGCCGTTCATGAGCAGAAGCAAAAAAGAGTCTCCATTCCCATTAGACAACAGATACTCTCTGTTTGCCGTTGTCAATCATGTAGGGACGTCCATCGATAGCGGACACTATACGGCATACGTCAGACAGCAGTGCGATTACTGGTATAAATGCGACGATCACGTCATCACCAGAGCGAATCTGAAAGAAGTTTTGGAATCTGAAGGGTGAGTATTTTTCGTGGAAGTCTAATAATGACTTTCGGTATGGACACAGTTTGAGACTAATGGGGAAGTTTCCTTCAGATGAATGTTCATAAAATAATTTCGGAAAATTTTGTACACTCTGTACAGAATGGCGATCGATAAAGTCCAAGTCGTTTTTATTTTCAAAATAAAACATCTTCTAATGTTGGGGGCCGCAAACTATGACGTACTTTCTGAATATAGCTGATGATGAAGAATATAGCTATCGAATAGCTAAGGAATACCAAACTAATAAAAAAATAGAAGAAGAAAAAGACAAATTGGCGTCGTTGTTGATTATAGCATGAACAATAGCTGACTAACAAAACAACTATACAGGGCTTCTCTAAAGTCCCATCCCCTACACAAATTATTAAATGTACAGGGTATCCCATTTTGGGCACTTTTGCGGGGTATCTCCCTTATCAGTAAAGATAGAGCATTGCGGTTTTCGCGACAGTGTGCTACTTTTTTATGAAATTAATAATGGCGCAAGCAGAATTGTGATAGCTCTTCCGGTTGTCGAGATACAGGGTGGAATTGAAAAATTCCACTTTTCAGGCACCCCCCGTGATATCTTTGAACTTATCGAAGAAGTTAAAACTTGTTCTTAGAGAGTTTTTCTCGTAGAATCCAGTGGCATAGTTATTTTTTAGCTAGCACCTTTTGTTTTTTAGTTATGGAGCAAACATATGTTTTTTAAATGGAACACCCTGTATATTATTTCATATATTCATTAAGCATGAAGTGGGCTTTCCAAAAATATATAATGAAAAAAAATGTTTCTTCTGTGTCTAATTCTAATGGCTACTTTGTTTGGAACAAAAAGCAAAATGTCAAAAACTTCACGTGCTATTGTCAGTTTCTGATTATTAGTGAAATATTTTAGCTGTTTTGGTATTTCTAATTCCCGATACAAAATATTTAATTTATTTTACAACTATGGCGGTTTACGATAATGATGAAAAGTATGATATGATGGTTTGTTTTATACAATCTAATAAAAATCCGCAAGAAGCTTCGGAATTATATTTACAAAGGTGACATATTTTGAGCGCTATTTTTACGATAATTTCTTAAGGATTCTTTATTTGTTTATATTAGATATCCAGAAAGAAGACAACCTTTCCCAGACATATTTTTCCGCCTCGAATCAAATTTAGTAGAATATGGATTTATCCAGCCCCGTCCTAAGGCATATACGAAACAAGATAGAGAGAAAAAATGACATAGAAAGAAGTACAAAGTGCCACACAATAGAGGACACTAAAATAAGAAAAAAGTTCCCATGAACACGGATCCGCAAGGCCTTCGGTTAAAAGATACGGGGAGTTGAATTTAATTTTTTTTGGGTTTTTTGAATATCTTCAGCCTGAGACGAAATGAATATGTTTAGCCAGAGACGAAAGAAAATGGATAAAATGTGGTAAACAGGGGTGTTTTATCATGCAAAATTCAAATATGATCTCAGTTTTGTGATTACTGATAGACGGCGCTACATACAGGGTTCCATCCCTATTTAATACTCTGTATGTCATGTTCTGAAAAAAATTGATATCCCTTCTGTTATACTTAGGAAAGGTACACCTTTTTGAAGTCGCTAGAAGCAATGGTTCAAGTACAAATGCATCTAAAAGCCGACAATGCACGCAAGTTATTCAAAAAGCGCCAAAGTAACCTTTGCAAAAACAATGATAAATAACAATTAAATAATGTGTCATAATGAAACTTGTCAATTTGATGTAATAATTGATACAGGTATTGAAAAGTAATTTTTTAAGTATTTATCATTGTTTCTGCAAATAAATAAAAAACAATCAACATTCAACACCACATATCTTTCAACCGAAGACCCGTGTTCTTGGGAACTTTTTTCATGATTTTAGTATATTTTATTGTGGGCACTATGCAATGTACTTTTTTCTATGTCACCCTGTATGTATGATTTCATCCATGAACGCATATATTTGAGAGCGTCGTTCTCAAAATTTTGTTTCAGGCGTCTCTCGAGTATCGATCCAAATCATGCTGCAAACTTCATTCTCGTGGGATATCACTATCACTCCGTGCTCGTTAAACAATATACTATTGTTTCATAGTAGTGATAGAGACACAAATTGGGTACTTGGGGGTAGCACAGATCTTATATCTACCAAGGAAGAATGCTAAAGCCAATTTATTTCACCTCCCACGGGAAGTCATTTTTTTTTCTCCCGTGGAAGTATATTGACGGGTTCCTGTCCTTAAATGAGGTAGCAAACGCTTACTTTCGATGCAGTGAGTAGATAAACGAAATTCGTATCATTGAATAGGTTTATTCCATACCATTAAGAGCTGTCGCTTGCCGTAGGGTTTCATTTGAAATTATTGGTCACAATGGCCTTGTGACGTCAGCTTTGAAGATTTCGTCATCTATCATCACCAGTAGGGAAGTTTACAACCTTTTATATTCAGTTTCAAAATTTCATTTGTTCAGGTATAATCGTTCCAAAGATAAGAGGGGGGAGGGGACTTTTGAGAAGCACTGTAGACTATAGACATAGGATAACGAATAACTGGAGCTCAGGAATCTACCCAAGTAAAATTGGTTAACAAAAACATACATTCATTATTCCAGATTTTTTTGGGATTTTCTCTCCTCGTCTCTATGAAATAAAAATATGAATACTTTTTCAATATACTTGTAGTGAGGACAAATCAGATGATTTGCCCCAAAATGTCACTGCGTTTAAAGAATTTTCCTATCGAAGAGCCAAAAAGCAAAATTCACTAGCTTGTCAGTGACAATTTGTATTGGAAAAGTTTTGGAGAAGAGAAACAAAAGTATATAGAAAAAATATAATATTTATACTTATCTTTGGCCGTTTCGGGAACGAATCTGCTCCCGTTTTCAACATAAAAAATGGATTTTTTGTATGGCAAATTCGTATTTGTCTTGACACTTCTCAGTTCTCAGTGAAAATTGGTGACGTTGGTAATCAAATGAGTTACAGGATGTTTTCATTAATTAATCTTGAATTTACCATTTTCATTCTCAGATTTCAGCAGTAACATTTTGGGGCAAATCATCTGATTTGTCCTCAATACACGTATATTGAAATAGTATTCATATTTTTATTTTATAGAGACGAGGAGAAAATCCCAAAAAAATCTGGAATAATGAATGTACCACCTTCTCGATTAACCTACTGACAGTATTTAAAAACATACATAACCACAAAATCAGATAAGCTCTCGGTGTGCCTGTCAGTATTTTGTGTGGTGTGGACGGGCTCAGGCTATATTCCGAATTCAACTGACAGTACTGAATCTGCTGATTTTTCATTCCGAAATCAAAAAATTCACTGAAAGTGACAGATGCTGGCTATATTCCGAATTCAACTGACAGTACTGAATCTGCTGATTATTCATTCCGAAATCAAAAAATTCACTAAAAGTGACAGATGCTAGTGAGCTGACATACTATTCATTCCAAATATTTCGACTCAACATTCTGCTGAAATTGCTGACTATCAAAAGGTAGTGTGGCTTCAGTGAACTGTCATTATTTAAAAGTGGGAAGGAATGTAATATTTATTTCCGTAGTTAATGATATCATTTTCAATATCAGAAAGTACCTGTTATGTCTGATTGAAATAATAAAGGCTGAGAATAATATGGAGTATGAAGTAGTAGAGGTAACGAAACAAGAAGCAGCATTGGCTGAATAAATAACTAAATAAACCTGAAATGTCTCCTAAATTCATCATCATTGATGTCATATTACGTTTTCCATTAATCTTTCAATTCTCAATCTGGTGCTCCATGAAAAATTAATGGCAACAAAATGTCCAAGTATTCTTTATCTCTCGAGCTCGAATCGTCATCGTCAACAATCGTAGAAACTATTGAGGGTACACGAATCGATTGCTCTTTCATGTTAAATATTAAATCTCCAATTTATATAAAGCAGGAGGCTAAATATCTAGTTCAGATAAACGAGAAACTACAGACTGACAAATTTCACCAGCTGATTATCAAGCTGCTGACTACTGATGAAAAGCATGAAGACGTGTTCCGAATTACAGCACTGTATTTTTGATTTTATATTTCGGAACACAAATTTTCAGCAGAATCAGTGGATCTACTGACAGTACTGACCAGTTGAATTCGGAATATAGCCGCTGGTGAGCAGACATACTATTCATTCCAAATATTTCGACTCAACATTCTGCTGAAATTGCTGAGTATCAGAAGGTAGTGTGGCTTCAGTGAACTGTCATTATTTTAGAGGGGGAAGGAATATAACCTCAGAAATATAACATTAATTTCCGTTGTTAATAATAGTATTCTCAATATCAGAAAATACCTGTATTGAAATAATCAACGCTGAGAATAATATGGAGAATGAGTAGTAGAGGTAACGAAAGAAGAAGCAGCATTCGCTAAAATAACCTGAAATGTCTCCTAAATCCATCATCATTACGTTTTCTATAAATCTTTCAATTCTCAATCTGGTGCATCATGAGAATTTAATGGCAACAAAATGTCCGAGTATTCTTTATCACTCGAGCCTGAATCGTCATCGTCAATAATCGTAGAAACTATGGAGGCTACAAGAATCGATTGCTCTTCCGTGTTAAATATCAAATATTAAATATCTAGTCCAGATAAACGAGAAACTACGGACTGACAAATTTCACCAGCTAATCAACTGCTGCTGACTACTGACGAAAACCATGAAAACGTGTCCCGAATTACAGCACTGTATTTTTGATTTTATATTTCGGAACACGGATTTTCAGCAGATTCAGTGAATCTACTGACAGTACTGACCAGTTGAATTCGGAATATAGCCTCAAAGTAGTATGCGCTGTTGCAAGATATAATCTGCTACTTTTCCAAGAAAATTGAAACGTTTTATGAAGGAACGTATTAATTTGCAAAAAAATGACTGACAAGTTATGATTATCATTTTGTAATATAACGAGAGTGAAAAATTATGGATACTTTTGCAAAATATCATAATTTATCTTCATTAGTAATAAACTTCTTTCCACAAATGAAAGATTGAAAGAAATTATTCATAATACCCGACGAAGTAGGAATAAAAAAGTTATTATACAGAGAAGTGCACAAAAAACTGCCAGCACTGTAACTTTAGAATTATTCGAGATATAATTTTGAAAATTGGTGGGCAGCTAGTATATCAAATTGCTCATTAATTGACGATAAATTTTTTGTTTTATCACTTCCGGTTTTACTGGAGACAACTCCAACTTTTGATTTTCAAATGGGACATTCTGTATTGTATTTCATAATCGGTTAGGGATCGTCATAACAAATTCATCGATACTATGGGTTTGATAGAGTTATTTTAAATTATATTCGCGTTATAAGTTCCCATATGCTCAATGAGTGTGACAGAGAAAAAAGTTTTGATATTGCGAAGTCACACCCACTGAGCATATGGAAACTTCGAACGCAAATATCTTTGTAATTGTTTGAAATAAGCCTATCAAACCCGGTATCGTTGAATTCGTCATGATAATCCCTAACCGATTATGGAATTCAATACAGGAGGTCCTATTTAAGAATCAAAAGTTTGGGTCGTTTCCGGTGAAACTGGAAGTGATAGAAGAAAAATTGTTACATCAATGGGCTTATATCACAAAAAAAATTATTTCATAATTCGATAGAACTCACCCAAACTAGCTCACCACCGCAAATCGTTTCTTGCTGTGAGCTCCCTACGCTTTATAAAAAAATAATGAAATCCCCGATTTTTCGGACCTCTGAAAACGAGGCGATGATGTGACGTCAAAACCCTAATACTGAAACAAGACTATTCCAGACAAAGGTGAATGATACATGATTTCTGACAGAGTGAATTAGCGCGAGATCACAGTTGAAAGAATTAATATATCAGTTGCCTCAGTGTCCGTCGGGCGTTTGGTATTTTTTTTAACTATGGCGAGATGAGGTTTCTACGTCATGAGAGGGTCCGTTTTTAGAAGGTACTATCATTTATGTCCAAAAATAAAACATTCCAGGTAATTTTTCGATCGAATTATGTCGTCAATCATAATTTATGTATAAAAGGATCATTATAAACATGGTTTGAGTTGAAAGTTCTACTAAGGTGTACACGCCCATTAATGAGCAATTTGGTATACAGGGTGTAAATTTGAAAACTTCCAATGCGAATATCTCGCGAAAGAAAAAAGTTAGAAAAACGCCGTTTGGCAAAAATGCTAAAGAGTTAAGGGGAACTAGAACCACCATATTTCGGTCAAGGGATGAGTCACCCCGTCGGCGCGACACACCCCAACTTTGAAATGTCAAATGGCACTACCTTTTTTGTGATGCCTCAAATGAACAGTCTCAGCCAGTAGTATCCACCTGTACAAGACTTTTTTTCCACCCACTACAGGGTGTACGAAAAATATAAAGTCGAGTAAAATAAAATGAATTGTGTTAAAAGGATATTTTATTTGATCAGATGTTCAAAATGCATTCCATTCTGTTGTAAGTAATAGTATAATCGATGTTCAAATGCCATTCTAACATTTTGGAACACATCTCTTGGAATATATCGGCATTCTGCATTTTATTTTATTCGACTTTATGTTTTCCGTTCACCCTGTAGTGGGTGGAAAATAAGTCTTGTACAGGTGAATACTACTGATTGAGACCGTTAATTTGAGGTATCACAAAAGAGGTAGTGCCATTTGACATTTCAAAGATGGAGTGTGTCGCGCCGACGGGGTGACTCATCCCTTTACTGAAGTATGGTGGTTCTAGTTCCCCCTAACTCTGTAGCATTTGTGCCAAACGGCGTTTTCATAACTCTTTTATTTAGCGAGATATTCGCATTGAAAGTTTTCAAATTTAGACCCTCGAATTAATGTTTTTCGTACACCCTGTAGTGGGTGGAAAAAAAGTCTTGTACAGGTGAATACTACTGACTGAGACCGTTCATTTGAGGTATTACAAAACAGGTAGTGCCATTTGACATTTCAAAGTTGGGGTGTCTTGCGCTGACAGGGTGACTCATCCCTTCACTGAAATATGGTGGTTCTAGTTCCCCTTAACTCTTTAGCATTTTTGCCAAGCGGCGTTTCTCTAACTTTTTTATTTCGCGAGATATTCGCATTGAAAGTTTTCAAATTTACACCCTGTACTTGCTACCCACCAATTTTCAAAACCCAATCTAGAATAATCCATAAGTTACAATCCTGGCCGTTTTTTGTGTACTTCTCTGTATTTTATTGTTGTTATGATACAGTTATGATGTATTCAACGAACAATTTCCGGAAATCAAGACATGTCGGCGACGCCGTACTGAGACGGAATCGTATTTTAACTCTTTGTGAATGTGGCTTTTCGTTATAGGAATGGTGAAGAAACCAAGTCCCTGTTTCATTTATATTATTCCACAGTGAATTTTGATTTTATGAAAAACAAAAAAACATCCATTGAATTTTTAAATACTTCAAAGTAAGATAAAAACCTCAATATTGGAAACTTTCCCATTATAAGGATTCTAGCTATAGCGAATCTCTGTATACCAATATTTTCAATCATTTAGACGAGAGGAAATACCAAAAATCTAGGGAAATTAATTGAATTATCTTTTTAGGTATCTTCTTTTTTACCACAAGCATTTACTGGGATATGAATAATGAAGGATGCCTATTGCACAAATGGGTTAGGTTGAAATAAATTAATTGAGAAAGCTTTGATGATTATTGAATTTAGTAATTCTATTGATATGTACGTTTTCAGTTTTCTGAATGACATTACTATTTTTTTCTTAGGTCATTGTTCAGAAATGCGCCTACATGTTGCCCAGAAATTATTTTTTTGCATTTGGGTGGCAAAAAAGAGTAAGGTGTTGTGATTTTTATTTTATTCTGAGCCATTATGATTCTATGATGTATGTGATTATGAAGTATTGTATTTAATAAAATGGACTTCCTTAGACTATACAATGAGGAAGCAAACTATTTGGTTGTGTACAACTGTGTTTTCATTTCGTTTATCTTGAAAACCTAATAGGCGAGGTATAAATCGACCTTATCAACGATATTTTCAGCAAGCCAGTGACATATATTTCAAGATGAGTGGATCATTTGTTATCGTAAACCTAAAATTTTTTCGTAATATTGCAAGATCAAACTTCCTTTCTAGTTTATGAACAGAAATGTCTTATGTTGAAACATTTTAGTTATGAACATTGTTCATATTTTCACATTCAGATTAATGGAAGCAGGATACGTAACGAAAAAAAAACATCGTTTTGAAATAATAAAATTACTGGATTTATTGATGCTACCAGGAGAGGTGAAAGAACTTACATTCACAACTCCACCACATAAACAATTCAAAAATGACCAACGATCATGGACAAAAGGACATGTTTCGGAGGGTTAATCCTTCATTATCAGCAAATTTGTAAAAAGAAGAAAATCTGTAAGAAGAAAACAACGCATATGTTAGTTTTTAAGTATTGTTGAAAAAAACTGAATATACCTACCATTTTTGGTGAAACAAGATTACTTTGATATTTCAAACAATTTTTGAAATATAGGCTCTTATAGAGCTGTTATAATGTTTGTTCCCTAACAGTCACCCACCCGCACTAAGCGCGTATAGAAAACATTTTTTTTTTGCAATTGCATTACCTCGTTGGTCCCAGCACTGGGACCAAACGCTCCATAAGTCGAAACTTGTGCGGGGTTGGGTAAGCGAGTGCGCCGCGTTGCAGCCACATCTCGTTGGCGCCACATTTCGTTGCAGCCACATCTCTTTGGAGCCACATTTCGTTGGGCCCACAGTCTCCGAACGTACCCGAAAGCTGCGCTGTTGCCACAAGGTTCCTTATTTTACTGAGAAAGATATTGCGGCTCTAACGAGACATTGCGGTATACTTTCATTTTGTTCAAGCCTTTCGTTGCACCCACATCTCGTTGGAGCCACATTTCGTTGAAGCCACATTTTGTTACAGCCACATCTCGTTGGAGCCACAGGTAAATAACCAATACCATTAATTGGTACAGAATTAAGTTAATAAAAAATTTCCGGCCAAGAGCTTCGCTCACGACCGATCCTGAAATAATATCATTGAAATAGCGAATCTCTATCAGCCTCAACAGCACAGTATAAATGCCTCCACAGAAATTTTTTCAGCGAGGAAGGATAAAGAAGAAGACTACTTTTTTTAAACCAATACTAACCTTACTCGGCCTAAATGAACCTTCTGAACAAAATAAAAAAATGCCGACCGCCTCAGGCATTGAACCCGGGTCGCCGAATCTGGGCCCAACGAGATGTGGCTGCAACGAGATGTAGCTGCAACGAAATGTGGCTCCAACGAGAAATGGGCCCAACGAGATGGCAACGAAATATAGCTTGAAAGAAACGTGGATTGATCAAGATGAGAGTGTCTCGTTAGGGCCACAATAACCTTTTCAGTATAATCGAGATTTTTGAATTATATGTGGCAACAGCGCATCGTTCGGGTACGTTCGGAGACTGTGGGCCTAACGAAATGTGGCTCCAACGAGATGTGGCCCCAACGAGATGTGGCTGCAAAGAGATGCTCCCGGGTAAGCATACAAACACAAACATCCATGGCCTAACTAGGATTCGAACCTATGTCTCGGTGGGAGTCCCCATACGAACTCAGCGCCTTGACGCTCTCGACCACCGAGCCGTAATCTTAGTTATTTAAGTAATCTTTTTCCACCAATAAACAATACTTAAAAACTAACATAAGCTTTGTTTTCTTCTTTCAGATTTTCTTCTTTTTATAAATTTGCTGATGAAGGATTAATCCTTCGATACATGTTCTTTTGACCATGACCGTTGTTCATTATTAAATTGTTTATGTAGTGCAGTTGTGACTGTAAGTTCTTTCACCCCTCCTGGTTTATATCACCTCCACTGTAAGTTATGGATCATCTACGTTGGTTATTGATGCTATTCCAATTTGAGTAGCAACTGGAAACTCATCATGTACTTCATTGAAACGATGGCATGAATACTAAGAAATAGAAGGATAGGGGCTACCTTTTATTGATAACTTTGCTATCTCTTCAAACATGATGCCTCCTAAAAATGTTGCTGGTTTGATGCTGGGTTTATAGATTCAATTACATTAACAATTAGGAATTATCAATTAACAATCAACAATTAATAATCATGAGAGTGTTTATACATTTTTGATATTGATTAAGAATTAAATGTGAGATGTCTTTTGATTAAAGATTAAAATGATGTAAAAAAGTGATGTTGGTCTCCACTATTCATGAATCTATAATAAATATTCCAATTTGATATCACCAAACTAAACAGAATTTCATAATTCTTAGTTGTTAAGTTGAAAGTTGGCCAACTTTGTAGTTCTTAATTCTTGATTTAAATAACAGATGTAAATGTATAAACCCTCATAAATGTTTCCTTGTATTTTTAGTTCATAGTTGTTAGATTAATTCTTAGTTTAATTGAATGAACATGGAATTTTGTGATAGCTCATAGAGGGCGCTAGTGGCACTATCTATTTTTCATGGTCACTTTGCTAACTTGATAATTTGAAAAATGTAAAAACTCCACAAACGATAAGATTTACACAATAATGATAATTTGAAATAATGATGATTTGAAATAAATAACATCTGTTCTGGAGCTAATTACATAAAAACCATTAGATCTGGACAATTTCAAATGCAATCTTCAAATGTATCTCCTGAACCAGCAACATTTTTATAAGGCTAGCTGAGTTGAATCTTCAAATTTTGGTGTTTAATATCTTTGATTCAGAGATTGAATTTATCTATAACTATCGATATATCGAAATATTGGTACATGGATAACCATCGATATCGATAACTATCAATTTTTTCTCAAAATAATCACGATGTTCTGAATATTCGATATAGTTCTCTCGTTTTATTGTTCACGAAATTGTGTTGCTCTACGGCATTATAACTTTTGTCTGGATATCACGAAAGCTTCTATGAGACAGACAATTGAAATGAGCTCAGTTTTACCGATATGTTGAGACGAAATTGATAGTTATCGATATATCGATAACTTCATAATCCTTACATATCGATGGTTATCAATATACCAATATATCGAAATATCGATAGTTATCGATAATCGATATATATCGATATATCGATAGTTATCAATGTAACGATATTCATCAATATATCCATATAACGATATTCTCAAATGGAACACCTTGTATTTCATTGTATTTTTTTATTCTCCCTGAAGAGCTGATTCCATCAATGCAATACACTTGGGGTCTAGCGGGAATGATTACAGAGATATAGGGTGTTCAAAATCGAGATTTCTCAACTTTAGTATTTTTTTGTGTCGAAACTATTCATTATTGCTCAAAACGGCTTTAATGTACCTGTCTCAACTTTTGATTTACTTTAGTGAATCAAAAGTTGAGATACGGACATGAAAGCCGTTTTGACTGATAATGAATAGTTTCGTCACAGAAAAATGTCTATTTTGAACACCCTATGGCCTATACCTTTGTAATCATTTTCGCTAGACCCCAAGTGTGATGCATTGATGAAATCAGCTCTTCAGGGAGAATCTAAAAATACAATAAAAAATAGGGTGTTCCATTCAAAGAAATCAAATAGTACCTTGTAGATCATTTGTACCGAGCACTTTGTATTTTCTGATATAGCGGAAAAAAACTCTATTGAAAATCATTTTAGATATTTAAAATGTTCCAATCGGTTCAAAAATAACTGAGCTAGAGAGGGAGGGGGGGGGACATTCATGGTGAATCACCCTGTACATATGAAAAATTAATTGACAAAATTATAATTTCCTTTCACTCGGGGGGGGGGGGGGGACATTCATGGTGAATCACCCTGTACATATGAAAAATTAATTGACAAAATTATAATTTCCTTTCACTCGTAGTATCCCAAAGTTAATATGAAATGATCCAATATAATATGTTATATTTTAAACTAGTATTTTCATGCAAATATAATAGGTAGAAATCAGGAATCTATTATTGGTGCCGAAACAGCGACCCAAACTAAATGTATTCATGAACCGTTATGCAAATCAAATGAACAAATAAATTCCTAAATTATTTGATTTCCAAACACAAGCTGGTGTGAAATTTTCGTACCGAAAACCACACGAGGTCAAATTACTTTCCGGAAATAATTTGACCTCTAGTGGTATTACAAGTGAAAATTCTGATTGGTTCTAGTAAATCGAATAACATGAAATGAACATGTTATTCCTTCTCGTAGGTTTTCGTAAATAAATTCAACATCATGTAACTATTTATCTATTTAATCTTAATTCTTAAGCGAAAGTAATGACTCATTAAAATCTTCAAATATTCAATCGTTTGTGTCCTCTGACTCGACAACCCAAAGAAAGTTGTGTCTCGCAATCTGCCTTTAATTGATTCAATTTTCGTTCTACTGGTATCACTAACGTCCCAATAAGTTCATCCACAGTGTGTTTAAAAAAAACTTGATCCAAATGCTCCTGCAGGTAGTCCTTCAAGGGAATCAGCTCTTTAATCACTCTAAAAAAAAATTATCATAAGGGGCCTTCGCAAAAAAATTGAATTTGGTTTTCGAATAATGACTTCAATTTATCTTGTATTGGAGGAAATTGATCGAGGCAGACCACTCACTTCATGTTTTTTCATTTGTTCAAAAACAAAATAGCGGACACACCTAAATTTTCTCGACCTTTTGAAACCATCACTCTGTATTTTTTACGTATGATATTCCAAAAGCGTTTTTTCTAAACACAACAAGAGGTCCAATATTTTTTTTTGCATTACGAAAGTCAGAGTTCGCCGGATACTTGGAACACAACAGCCCCCTGAACTCCCCAGCAACGACACCAAAGAGTTCATTTTGGAGTTTTGTTTGTTAACAATGCTAGGTACAATGTATTCTCTTCGAAATATTTTATTTACTGGATTACTTCGTCACAAACTGATTCCCGATTGATTTAGATAACACTAAAACAAATACTTACGCACCCAGTATGCTCACGAGTCGATAAATTGACTACAACGATACTTTCGTTTTCCTGTTTCAAGTTTTCAAACCTGCGGGTAACTTGGAACATCAATATTTTTTTCAAATATCTTCCTAACGACTAAACCGGCGAAGATGAATATTTTTATGATAATTATAGTACATCATAGGTGCGTTTTGTTGTGCCATGATACAATCTGGTTCTTGGCACTGTACACGTTTTGTTGTGCATTCAAACCCATTTCCATTCGCATTCGCATTAGGTGCGTTTTGTTGTGCCATTCCGGAAGTGATAGAATGAGTGGGCCCAGAAAACGGATTAGCGCCAGACAATGCGAATATTTGGAACTGTAGAAACATGTTGAAAAATTACTTAGTGAATTAAATATATTTACTCTCGATATTTAGTATTTCTCCGTTCTGTGGTTCTCTTCAATCTCTATTCATTATTATTATAGTTTGTATGCGATAAATCCTGAAAATTTTTTCTTTAACTCAATTCTCATGTCACAATAATAATCACAAGTCACTTTTATTTGTCATTCCCATTTTCAATCCTTCTCATGAGAAGGAATGCGAATGGGAATGAAAATGGGTTTAAATTCACAACAAAACGTGTACGATGCCAAGAACCAGATTGACTTATGGCACAACAAAACGCACCTATCCTTCTCATGAGAAGGATTGAAAATTGGAATGACAAATAAAAGTGACTTGTGATTATTATTGTGACACAAAATTCAATCATAATTCTTAAACGTTGGATGAGAATCATGGATATCAAATTAGTGTATATCAATTTTTGATTCATGGGAGTAAAAGCAGAATGATGGAAATGGTAAAATTGTTATATAATAGAGATAAATACGAGGACAAATATAATATGATCAGATTTTGAGGTTGAAAATATCAAATGTTTCTACAGTTCCAAATATTCGCATTGTCTGGCGCCGATCCGTTTTCTTGGGCCCACTCATTCCATCACTTCCGGAATGGCACAACAAAACGCACCTAGAGAAGTTGCGTTCTATTTGTTCCATTCTGATAGTGGTGGTAGGAACCGAATTGAGTATACAAATAAAACGAGAAACATCATGACCTTGCTAAAGAGAATTGACATATTATAGATGATGTAGGTTATATTTATACATTGGGCCTCCAAAAAATTTCATTATCATAATACAAGAGTGAAAATCTAGAAAATGAATCAACGCATATTTGGAGCAGTGATTTGTGATGAGAAACTGCTCTTAGATCGAGAGAATGCCGAGGAGAATTGATTTTATCTGGGAATGAACATATGGAGCAGCCTGTCTTACTTGAAAGAATCATAAACTTGTGAACCTCACGATGAAAATGTGTTCTAAATGTCTTCTACTTTCAAAAAGTTTCGATTTTCGTTTAAACTAATTTAATTTTTTGACAACTGTCAAGTCATTCCTCGTCATTCCTTGTAGTGAGACGAAATGAAAAGTAGCAACCGGAATCGGAAAAGGTGCAAATAAAACGACACATTAAGTGATTCTGGTGGCGGAATCGGACAAATAAAACGCAACTTCTGTAATTGAAAAGAATCTATTCACATTTGAAATTTATCAAAAATGAGGTTTCAAATATCAAAAATCGAAGGTTTGATATGTTTCAAAGATTTTCGGAAGAATACGTTCTGAAGATGATGTGGAATTCTGTTGTAATTTCTGATGGAAATACCATCCTGTGATATACCTTTGGAATGGTTATTTGATCTAGAATAAGATAGTAGCAAAAATATTCCATGGTTGCTTGTTTCTATATACTTCCGTTGAACTATTTCACTCATCACATAATCTGACCAATTACAGCCAGAGACAACATGTGCTTATCGCGAAAACATTAGCTGTCTTTCAATTCTGATTGGTCTATCAGCGTTGATGTTTTGTCATAAAATAATTAGGCTGTACTCGTCAGAATAAATCACTCATTTATAATACATGCTTTTATGCTTTGTGAACGTTAAATAGTCTAACAAAATACCACTCTGTTCTGAATATCTTCTTATAATTCTTTCATTGATAACTCAATTGTGCTGCTCGGCAAGATAATTATCTCGAATATTTAGAATTTTCTTGATATTACTTATGAAAATCATATAGGCTCTTTCAACAAGAAATTAATACACCAAGTTTGCAATCTTTCCCATCAACCTTGGACGAAATTATGGAAAATAAATGACGATTTCATTGGAATTCAATACTCACTCATTCACAACAGGTAGAATGGAGTCTATCTGCATCGGGTTTGTATAATCATTTGCTATTTGCCACACATTCAGCCAAGTCTGGACCCTGCAGAAATAACAGTGAGGGTATTAAAATAATAGGTATAAAGGTATACCCAGCCAACCATGCCATATATGAGATATGTATACAGTGTGTAACAATTTGGTCCACCCCACCCCTATAGGGCGATATGAAATTTGTTTTCACTCATAATATACTACTCAAAATTATCTACATTGTCGAACAAAAAAAATCATCAGACACAGTGTCTTGGCCTACTGCGATCCATATAAACATGTGTCCTAACTTGCTCCGTTTTTGAGATACAGCATGTTGAAGTTGGAAGTATTAATTGTTATTATTTATAACTCTCCTGTATAAGCTTTCATGGAGCCAAAATTCAGTATGGTTGGAGACTGAGAAAGCCCCAAAATTTCAAAATGATTCTAATTGGGGTTGTTTCGTTCATCTCCTTTGTTATGTCCATTTATGTAAACTTAAAATAATCATGAATTTCTATGCATTATCTGCTATCCGTGTTTGCACCACTATATATCTCAAAATTGAATTTGCGCATCAGGTCCTTAAGGTTTTACATGCAGCGCCTCCAAGTGGCCACCGCGGATAAAAGAATTAGAACTTTTTCGTACATCGAATCTGACACTCGATCGCCTTGGATCTTTTCCGAGTAAAATCTTCTCAACAATAACCAAATTTCCGTCCTCCAGACGTTAATGGAACATTAAGTGTACCAGATAGTTCCTGAGGGAAGACCATTCATCCCATACGTTCAGTTCAGAGTGCCGGCCGGCCCGTCACCACAGCATAATTCCACGGAATAACCATAAGTCAAGATCTTAAAGACCACGCTCAATTCGCCTCTAGTCAATTTTTTTCTCTCCTGAGACTTTACGGGTAAGGGATTCAACCCCTTACGTAACAGGAATTATTGAGTAATCTCAACGGAAGTCTTGAAAACACGCCTGCATTAAAATTTGGAGTCAAATCGAATATTTATTGTTTTCTCAAAAATTAAGCTAGATACAAAAATTACAGGAAGGATAAAAAAGTTGTTATTTCAATAGTTCAATCTGATAAATATATGAAACTCAGAAAAACCGGTGGCGCACAATGACATTCACCATAAATATCGATAAATTTACCCACTGTGACGCCACTGGAAATATTATTTCGAATCTAATTGCACCAGAAGAAGCTCCAAATGAATATAACAAAACCACAACGTTTTATTGAAATTGATGGAAGAACAATTGAGTAAGGAATAAAAACAGGATTTTTCATGGAAATATTAATACCCTGTATCTCGAAAACGAAGCAAGTTAGGACACATGTTTATATGAACTTTATTTCCTAAAATATCACAAGGAATCTCCCCTTGAATTTTTTCGGTGTTATTTAGGTACACCCTATACATATAACATTTCACTACCGATTTGGGCACTTTTTTTTTGCAATTGCATACCTCGTTGGTCCCAGCACTGGGACCAAACGCCCCATAAGTCGAAACTTGTGCGGGGTTAGGTATACATACAAACACAAACATCCATGGCCTAACTAGGATTCGAACCTAGGTCTCGGTGGGAGTCCCCATACGAACTCAGCGCCTTCACGCTCTCGACCACCGAGCCGCCACTGTTCGAACATTGTGCTACGCGATTCGGCACCGCTCAATTATTGGTTGTGATGGTGATGTGTATTCAAATGAGCCAATGGGAATTGAGATGGGTGCCGAATCCTATAGTAGAATGTTTAAATGCGGCCGGGAAATGCAGAGGAACATATTCGGCGAAGAGTAATGGAATTCTTAGAGAACATTCAATGTAGGATAATGTAACATACCCTTATTTACTGTTTCAATATTCTCAATTTGTTTCATTATTATTCAGAAATTTTTGTACTCGCCTTGCTTTGAGACACATTTCCATAGTGTTTGCAAAACTACAAGGTGTCCCAGAACAAATAATTACCTCCTGTCCCTATCCTCCCTAGGAACGCACGATGTTCTTCGAACATTATAGGGAGTTCCTTTCGTGCGCTCCAAGCGATAACAAAAAATTAAATTTTCACTTATCCCGTTCCCGTTTTCAACATAAAAATGGATATTTTGTGTTTCAAATTCGTATGTGTCTTGACACTTGTCAGTGACAAAATTGTTCTGTAGAATTGATAGTTTGTTTTGTGACACAATACATATAAAGAAAGATTCTGTATAAACGTTCCCCTCTCTTTTTGGTCGTTGGAATGTTGTTAGCATCATTAGCACATAGCGGCAAATGAAAAAATATTTCAACAGCCCCTACGATGTGACGATCATTTATAGAGACCCTGTATTCATTATTCAATCAATGATGGTCATATAAATTTTGTATAATGAGGTTATAAGTTGATAGTTAAAATTATAAAGGAAAATTTTATTTTATTCTTTTCAGAGCGTTTTAATGAAAGCTTTTTATTAATTTTTTTTACTTTCAATTCATTGATTATATTTATTGATATTATGATGTAAGAAAACTTTTTTCATTCCCACGTGAGCATTCCAATTAATGTACATGTAAGACTTGATTTGATCGTTAGATCATATAAAATGTCGTTGAGATTATTTTGAGTAATATCCAGTAGTTACTACTTTACTCTACATTGAGAAACCATGGACTCCTACCAAAGATTAATGAATGATCTTTCAGAAAAATTGGAAACCTGTGCGGCAAACAATTTTCGAGATACAACCGGCGACCCTTCCTCATTGTACACCCGTGAAGAGGTTTCAATAATGCAAACTCTTCATTGTGGTTTTTTATTGACTATTCCACTCTTTATCTCGAGAACTAATCAGAATCGACTAGTTTCACGGTTTCTTCTGTATTCTAGCGATATTATTTGTTTATTAAATTTTATCGGACTTGCTCAACCAATACAGAAGCCGAATTGACCCACACGTGACCAACAAACCTCGTTTATCAGCGATAAAATTTTGACATCGTGTCTGGTCAAGATTGTTTTGGATTACAATCTGAGACAATAGCCTAAGTAGATAGGTACCTAGTTTATTTTATTTACTTATAATTCGCGTTAGTGAGACATTTTGTACGAAAGGCGAGACAATTTTATTCTGGCTATACGTTTCATGTGTAATTTAAAAAGTTTTGCATATTTGTTGACGGTCTGACACAACAATACTAGAATTCAAATTCTATTTTAAAGTAATCTTTTTCAATCAGTTATTGTGACCTACATATTTACCTGATGATGTAGCGCAACTGATAGGGTTGTTGCGCGAAGATACGAAGGTCGATGGTTCGAGCCCCTCGGCAATGACATCTTTTTTTTTAATTATTTCATGTCACATAAATTCAATTTAATTTGTTTCAATTGGATAGCAATTTTACACACTCTTTTGAGAGCAACCGTCTTCAAGATAATTTAAAAAATACTGTTTATCAAAATTGTACATTCCACTTTGTGAATAACTATATAAGTAGGTAGTTAATTTCTGAAAAAGTGAATTCTGTATTTCATTACTATCATTATGTTCTTCTTCGCAGTTTGAGTTGGAATATACTTGAATTATGTTTCCTATTTCATATATATATATATATATATTGTCTCATTCAATCATGAAATAGTCATACGAATACAACTCGTGATACTATTTTTCCTGGAAATATTCGTCGATTGACATTCTCCAGCTTGCTGCTCTAATTTCGCTCATGACATTGATCCAAAACTACTCGCCTACAGCTCGTAAATTTGATAACAATGTCATTCACGAAATTACTAGGCAACAAGCTGTCGTAACAATCACCGAATATTTCCAGCAAATTATTATATTAATACTCGTGGTATTTTATATGAGAATCAGTTCGTATCTGAAATATATTTGACATCAAATACCTAACAGTGAACTAGGCAAATGTCAACTAATTTAAAAAAATATCATATCACACGGAAATTCCGATATTATACCATTCTGAATAGGTTAACAATAACATTTACATCTGAAGAACAACTTACCTAAAATACCAGGGTTCAAAGGAAGATGATCTCAGAAGACAATACCACAATAACTAGCCCAAAAAGCTATTTCATATACAAATGATGATCAATGATACACAACACAGAGCTTCTAGATCTCACCATAGTGGAAGGAGAAGATGGTGTGCCTACGCGCATATTATGTGACGTCATCTGGGATACCAATATCAGCTGATAGCCACAGACAGATACCGTTGCCATGGGCGTGCGCAGTGAATTCCATCATGTTTATTGAAATTTCTATGAGTTTCTCGATCTGTTTAGAAATAATTCGATTTATATAAACAGGTTCCTATTCCTTCGATTTTACTATTTCATTGATTCCGGCAATTGTGATCTATACCTTTTCAACTTCAATTTCGGAATCGGTGAATTATATTTCGGAAAAAGTAATCTCGATTTCAGAATTGGTTAGTTCGATTTCAGAAATGGTAAACGTAATTTCAGAATCGGTGAGATGAATTTCAGAAAAAGTCCATTCAATTTCAGAAATGGTAAGTTTCATTTCAAAACTGGTAGGTTCAATTTCAGAAGATGAATCCTGCTTATATATGTTTGAAATGTTCTCAATTGCAAAAGAGAAGATTGTTTAATGGACATCCTGCAGATACCATAGTGGTAGTTCTGGATAATGCACCTGCACATTCAAAAATATAAAGAAGAGATATGCATGGAGGAATGTTATATTTTGCAGATTGGCACCTTACAGCCCTATGTTGAATTCGATTGAACATATATGTAGTGCCTTCAAGTCAGAAGTGAAGAGCTTTTTCAAGAGCATCGCCAAAGGGTCATAGCTGGGGATTCGAACAGATTGCTCAACCAGATAGAATTCAGACTGCGATGTCTTGAAGAATGTGCAGATCATTCAATGAAAATGATAACACCTCAAATGTGTTTGCATTCTTATAATCATGTGCAACGCTACTATCCTTCTGCGATTCGGATGGAAGACATCTATGGATTAAATTGAGATTATAATTATGTTATTGAATTGTTTTTGAACAGTTGAATATTGTAATATGGTTTGTTAATCACACATGCAATTGGAAATATTTCAAACAAACAAAAGGATTTATTTTCTGAAATTGAACCTACAAATTCTGAAATACAACTTACCATTTCTGAAATTGAATGGACTTTATCTGAAATTCAACTCACCGATTCTGAAATTGAGTTTACCATTTTTGAAATCGAAGTAACCAATTCCGAAATCGAGATTCCTTTTCCCGAAATATGAGTTACCGATTCCGAAATTGAAGTTGAAAAGGTATAGAGGTAATTCGCAATCGCAAATAGCAAGTACATACGAATTATCATGCATTGCCAATACCATCTGAATGATCCACTACTGTGGTGTCGATTCTGATAGATTAAAATTCAGCAGTTAACGACGTTGACGTTGCTTCTGCTCCGACCTCGACAACAGGAGTATCAATGTTTGCCGTTTTGTTATTCAAATCTTTGCTGCAATTTACATTTGTGAGAAAAAGAGTTTTGAATTCATTTTCAATTATTTCTGACTCGATATTCGGAAGATGTTCTGTAGGAATGGCATATTGTTCCAAATATTTGTGCTTTTTTGGAGGTGTGTGATTCAAGAACCGTACTTTCGCACTTGTTTGGGGACATTTTGCATCGAAATGTTTTGAAGAAATACGTGCTGTAATATGAATGAGAGATGATAATATGATAGGTGAATACTTTGGAATGAGGATATAAGGAATATAAGGTAGGTACCATTATTTGGGTTTATATTCTGTCGGCAGCAAGCTCCCATCGTTTCATTAGGTCTCCATTCTTGGATAAGCAGAAAAATTCAATATCTGTGCCTTTTGTATGTTAGTTGGAATTTCCATAACTAGAAACGAAGCAAGTAGGCATTTCGAAATTATTTTATTCAATTTTAGTACTTATATAATATCAGGAGTTCGAAACAAATAATTTCAATGACAGTTATATCCCAGCTGACGTCATGCGCAGAACAAGACGAGTTTGAGCTTTCTATTGAGCACACAATCTTCTCCTTCCACTATGGATCTCACTCATTTATTTAATACAGTAGGTTTCTGAATTAGGGAAACGTAGTTATGCTACACCCGGCATAGTAAATTTCTCGATCAAATTGTACTTACTGATCACTGTCGATGATATTTTTGAATTTGGTCCGTAAATGGACCAACCACTCGAAACCGACGAATATTTGCCAACCGGGAAACGAAAGCTGCGGCAATGGTAGCGGTGGTCGTGGTACGACACAATCCGAGTTGAATAAGTTGTCGTTGTAGCCCAGTAATTCGGCCACTGAACTGAAAAATAGTTATTAATTACACAAGGAACAAAAGTTACGAGGGATAAATGGAATGACGCAACACCTGGCGTGCCTCCTACCAGGTAGAACACTTATATTTCAATAAAATTGAATTTTCCGAGGATGGTACAACCAGAACATATAGAACTGAAATGGACATAGCTAACAGTTTCAATATATTTTTTTTGTGAATAGTATCCAAGATATTACTGATAATATAATTACAGAGGAACAATGGTCACAGGAAAATCTCAAACAAATAAATAGCACATTGAATTGTTTTCAAAATAGTTATTTTTGTATCTAGAGCGCGAAATGCTACTTTGGTGATCGAGATCTGACTTTTCTAACGAGGCGTAGCCGAGTTATAAAAATAGTCGAGATGAACAAAGTATTTCGCGTTCGAGTTGCGAACAACATTTTTTCTACAAACGTCAAAAAATATAGTTCTAAAGTAAATAAATTAGAAGTAAAAAAAACTGCTTAATAAAAAGCTTTTATTTAAACGCTCTAAAAAGAAGGAAATGAAATTTTTCTTAATAATTTTAACTATCAACTTATAACCTCATTATACACAATTTATATGATCATGAAAGCTGGTCGCGCGATTCACTTGTGTGAATGAACTAGTACTTATTTAATTACGTATAATCTGCTGAGATAAAATTTTTAAAATTACAATTCAATTAAATATTGATCATCGCGACAAGCTCTTATGATCATATAAATTGTGTATAATAAGGTTATAAGTTGATAGTTAAAATTATTAAGAAACATTTTATTTTCTTCTTTTTAAAGCGTTTCAATAGAAGCTTTTTATTAAAAAGTTTTTTTTACTTTCAAATAATTTTTTAATGTTATCGCTAGCTGGATTTTTCGATTAACTCTCAACGAGCCTTTTCATTTGATACCCATATTGTAGAAGTATATTGAAAATGACCATTCCGTCATCTTGGATGGTCCGCCATAATGGATTCAGAATGACGTCACATCATTTTTCGAGTTACTCTCAACGAGCCTCTTCATTTGATACCCATATTGTAAAAGTATATTAAAAATAGCTATTCCGCCATCTTGGATGGTCCACCATATTGGATTTAGAATAACGTCACATTATTTTTATTACTCTCAACGAGCCCTTTCATTTGATACCCATATTGTAGAAGTAGATTAAAAATGACCATTCCGCGTTACTCTCAACGAGCCTTTTTATTTGATACCCATATTGTAAAAGTATATCAAAAATAGCTATTCCGCCATCTTGGTTAGTCCGCCATATTGGATTTAGAATAACGTAACACACCTTATCGTGCATTATCATCTAAACTGAACGTGTATACAAAATGTCAGCTCAATCGGTTGAAGATTTCTACTTCAAAATTGAGTTCAAAGATTCCACCCGAACAAACATACATACATCCATACAAACATACAATGCAAGTTGAATAAAAGCTTTTGAAATATGCTTAGTTTGATATAAAAAAATTGTGTTGAACTGACTTAAAAGGCCTCCCCTTATCCACCCTAAGGACTCACGATGTTCCATGGACGTAATAGGAATTTCCTTTCGTGCGCTCCAAGAGATAAAACAAAGTTATTGTTGAACATTCAGAAATAAATGATTTCGTAGATGTTTGTTCGATTGAGGACCATAAAGTTGAAATATAAATATCTCATATATTTTTTACATAACAATGCGCGAAGTAGGTATTTCGCGCACTGATTTACTTCGCGCATTGTTTTGTGCAAGGTATCATGGTAACGTAGGAAACTGAAAAAAGTGTCACTTCGCAATTTGTTATCAATACGCGAACCTTGTCATTATTTGACGTTTGTAGAAAAATTAACTAATAGTGAACTGCGTGAAATTATATTCTCTTTGGACAATAATAGAAATAAATCTGAATTTTTTAATGCAAAATTCTTGAAAGAAACCTTCGAAAGCCTTGGAAATGTTATATTACATTTTATTAACACTTCTCTTGAATATGGACAATTCCCAGATAATTTCAAAATTAGTACCATTATACCAATACCGAAAATTTCAAATACCATAGATGCAAGTAAATTCACACTTTGGGCCAAGCTATATTGGAAATGAACAACACATTAGCAAATATTGAGAGATATCGCAGACAAATGAACTTAAATTAAATGTAACTAAAACCAAGTCGATGATTGTGACAACTTAATATAAATATAATAACATACTTGTGAATTGTGACATAGTTATTGAAAATCCATCTTTGGAGATTGTAGAAGAATTCAAGTACCTGGGATTTATGATAGATAATCTAACTTTCAATAGTCATGGAGAATATGTCATTAGAAAAATTTCTAAAAAACTGTACTTTTTTCATGCAAAAGCACTGTCGATGTTTGCTAGAGTAACAATTTACAATTCTATTATTAAACCTGACTTTGACTAATTGTGCAACAGTAATTTACTAAGTCAACCAAAATCGAATTTCCCAACTGCTAAAACTTCAATTTAGAGGAATGAGACTAATACTGAAATGTATTAGATATACTCTAATTGAACTGATGTTAGATACATTGCAATGGTTTTCAGTTAATACTCGTTTATTTTACATGAGTATGACTTATATTTATAAATTGAACAAAGGCCTACTTCCTTCCTACTTCAATAACAAGAAATTATGAAATTGATAGCTATGGCACACGAATGAGGACTGACTTTCATATCCATAGAACAAATTCCAGTATGAATTCAACAAACTACCAATGCATATAAAATCATCAGTATCTTTATCTTCCTCCAAATAATGATTATCGAAGTAATATCAGTGCAATATAGCTGGACAATGAAATACAATATTCACTATCATAAATCTGATATTGATGCAATGTTTTTTCCAAGATTGATTCGATATTGGAAATACTATATCAGCCTATCATGAGAATTGGCATATTGTAATCGTTAATATTTCGCTAATATCGAATAAATATTGGCAAATAAATATCGGCTGGTAACAAAATTCTTATGTTATGAGAACATTGGCACTGGATTGATTATTGAATATCGAAATGATAATAAATAGCCAATATTAGTGCAATATTACTGGACAATGGAATGCAATATTCACTAACCATCATGAATCTGATATTGATGCAATATTTTTTCCAAGATTGATTCGATATTGGAAATACAATATCAGCTCATCATGGAATTTGACATATTTTATTCTTTGATATTCCGCCAATATCAAATAAATATTTGCACATTGATATCGGCTGGTCACAAAGTTTTGATGGTATAACATTGACACTGGATTGATTATTGGATATCAAAGAACCAATATCAGTGCGATATTGCTGGACAATTAAATGCAATATTCACTAACCATCATAAATCGGATATTGATACAATCTTTTTTTCCAAGATTGATTCGATGTTGGAAATACAATATCATCCCATTATGAGCATTGACATATTGTAATCGTTAATATTTCACTAATATCAAATAAATATTGGCAAATTGATATCGGCTGGTCACAAAATTAATGTTATCACAACATTGGCACTGGATTGATGACCGAATTGAAATGAACAATTGGTTAGATATTGGGACAATCTAAACCTTTTCAACTTCAATTTAGGAATCGGTAACTTATATTTCGGAAAAAGTAATCTCGATTTCGGAATTTGTTACTTCGATTTCAGAAATGGTAAACTCAATTTCAGAATCGGTGAGTTGAATTTCAGATAAAGTCCATTCAATTTCAGAAATGGTAAGTTGTATTTCAGAATTTGTAGGTTCAATTTCAGAAAATAAATCCTTTTGTTTGTTTAAAATATTCCCAATTGCATGTGTGATAAACAAACCATATTACAATATTCAACTGTTCAAAAACAATTCAATAATATAATTATATAATCTCAATTTAATCGACAGATGTCTTCCATCCGAATCGCAGAAGGATAGTAGCGTTGCACATGATTATAAGAATGCAAACACATTTGAGGTGTTATCATTTTCATTGAATGATCTGCACATTCTTCAAGACATCGCAGTCTGAATTCTATCTGGTTGAGCAATCTGTTCGGATCCCCAGCTATGACCCTTTGGCGATGCTCTTGACAAAGCTCTTCACTTCTGACTTGAAGGCACTCCATATATGTTCAATCGAATTCAACATAGGGCTGTAACGTGCCAATCTGCAAAATATAACATTCCTCGATGCATATCTCTTCTATTTTTGAATGTGCAGGTGCATTATCCAGAACTACCACTATGGTATCTGCAGGATGTCCATTAAATAATCTTCTCTTTTGCAATTGAGAACATTTCAAACATATATGTATAAGGATTAATCTTCTGAAATTGAACCTACCAATTCTGAAATGAAACTTACCATTTCTGAAATTGAATGGACTTTTTCTGAAATTCATCTCACCGATTCTGAAATTACGTTTACGATTTCTGAAATCGAACTGACCAATTCTGAAATCGAGATTACTTTTTCCGAAATATAACTCACCGAAATTGAAGTTGAAAAGGTATAGTATTTCCATATTCAATATTCGAATATTGGGCTAATGTGAGACCAAGTTCTAGCCAATATGATGTTCTACCTAAGCTCCCAATGAGTCAATCTGCTACACGGATGGCTCTAAATTTGAGGGCAGTTCAGGTGCAGGGGTGTACAATGAAGGAACAAGAAAATAAATCTCGGTTCCTTTCGGCGAATATTTCTCAGTGTTCCAGGCTGAAATACTCGCAATACTTACCTGTGTCCAAGAAAACATGATTATGAGAGGTCGTAGACCAATCACTATATGCTCGGACAGCGAAGCTGCAATATTGGCTTTGCAATCCAATATCCAATTCATTTCATTTCTGAGTTCGAGTATTCAAGAGGAGTTAGGGGAAGTCAAATCAGATATATGTGGAATTGACGTCGGAGTACCACAGGGGTCAGTGTTATGACCTCTGATATTCCTTTTATTCATAAACGATATGCCATCCTATATCA